GATCATTTGAGAGACTGGGCTTTATTAAGAGGAATGTGGCAGGATTGGAGGAAGACTCCTCCATAACCTGCAATATACAGATGACACAACCTTGCTTGCTGAAACTAGGAAGGACCCAAGGCATTTGCTGCAGAAGATTGAAGTTTACCATCAAGAAGACAAAGATTCTCACCACTGGGCCAATTGGCAGCACCATGATGGATGGAGAAGAGATTGAGGTTCTTAACAATTTCAGCTTGCTCAGCTCCATAATAAACACTCTTGGCGCCAGCAGTCAGGAAATCAAAAGATGAATAGCACTGGAAAAATCTGCAATCAAGGACCTCTCAAGGTTACTGAGAAACAATGATGTCAGTCTAGAGACTAAGGTGCACTGATCTTCACAATAGTTTGGCATGCATCAGAGAGCTGGACAATGACTAATGACAACAAAGGAAAAATAGATGGGTTTGAATTGTGGTGTTAGAGAAGAGTCTTGAACGTACCATGGACTGCCAAGAGAACAAAGAGGTCTGTCTTGGAGAGGGTGAAACAAAGTTTTTCCTTGGAGGCTAGGAGTTTGAAGCTCTGTCTCATTCTTTGAGCACATGGCCAGGAGAGATTGGTCCTTAGAGAAGGGGATCATGCCTGGAAGCGTGGAGGGACAGTACAGGAGAGGAAAACCCCACATGAGATGGATTGACAGTAACTAGTATAGTGGAGGTAGGTGTTTCAGAGTCAGTGAGACTGGCTCAGGACAGGACAGGCTTCAAAGCTGTTATACATAGGGTCACTATGAGTCGCAGGTGACTTGATGACATGTAACAACAGCAACTTTGTACATATAAAAGACTTTCTTTGTATGGCATATTTCATAGTTCACACGAGGTAGGAAGTGTGAAGTGGGGAGTGACATTGACCGTGAGTGTGTCACAGGAGGCACAGCACTGATGTGACAGGCTTACCCACTCAGCCTGGCTTGGCTTTGAGCCCACTGGTTCCCAAAGTATGTTCCAAGGGACCCTAGGCCACTAGTACCGAGTTCTGTAACTGCCTCTAAAAACTTCACTCTGACCTGAGAATTCTTGCAACAAAAGAACCTAGCTGGGTCTCCATGGTATTTTCCAAACCTAACTGACTGCAAAATCTTGATCCTTTTTCTTTTTAATACCTGATAACTCTATTCCTTTGTGAGAAACATTGTTCTAAGTTGTATCTCATGATTTAAAAAAAAATAAGTTGTTGGCTTTAGTTTTAAATATCTTTTTTGTGTGCTGTTACTATTTCCTTTGGCACTCTTCATGGGCAAGGAGTTGCACTGCCAGCCCGAACATAAGCAGTTCAAATCCACCAGGTGCTTCGCGGGAGAAAGATGCCAGTTTCCTGTGTGATTTGCAGTCTCTGAAAACCTGCTGGAGGGTCAGCTATCATTTGATTTCAGCTTGGTGGCATATAATATAATATTCTCTTTGGTTAACTGTATAGAGTGATCACAAAGTGAGAGAATAATCTTTGAGTCCGAGCCTGTGTGGCATTTTAGTAATGCAAAATGACATGTTATTTAAGGTGATTTTTTTTTCCTCCTGAATTTTAACAGCTGTACAGCATCAATCATTGTGTCATTCTCAAAGTTTTAAGTCCTATTTGCCAAATTGAAAATGCTTAATGAAGAAGTACATTTTGGGGCTGAACTTACCCCATTTACTCAAGAGTCCACCCTCAAGTGGACATTAGGACGTGAAACTGCACTTCATTTTATATGGATTTGTTTCATCTCTATTATTAATTTTTGGGGGTTGAGTTTTCAGCAGTGATGCAGAGAATTGAAGCATCCCTTTTCGCCAACACTCCTTGGAAGTCATCCCAGTAATGACAGGATCCAGAGGTTAATCCAAAGTGGCAGGTGATCAGCATGCTCACAGAGATGTGTTTGCTTCTGTCAGAAATGGAATTTGCCTTGGTTGTAGGAATTCAGGCGAAGGGAAACCTGCTTGCTTTTGACGCCCCACCCCCCCCCCCCCCCTCACCCTGCTCTGTGACCCAGGCTGCAAATGCCCAGCTTATCTGAGTTCCTGGGCTTCTCCAATGAGGATATTCACCCATGAAAAGTAAGAGAAGTGAGCAACTTGAATATCAAGAAATAGTAATGAATCACAATATGTTATTAGATGCCATTAAGTCAGTTTAAACGCAGAACAATCCTATGTGTGAACAACAGGATGACACATTGCCTCATCTTCTCCTTCTTCACAGCCATGGCTGTGCTAGACCCATGATCGTAACACTGTGGCCATCTCTCTCCAAGGATCTTCTCCCTTTTGCTGACACTCTACTTTTCCAAGCATGATGTCCTTCTCTGGGGACTGACCCCTCCTGCTAACATGCCCAAAGTCCATGAGATGAGGTCTTGTCACCTTTGCTTCTACTAAGGTGCATGCTGGCTGCATTCATTTCCAGAGAGGTTTTTTTATTCCTTGGCAGTCAAAACTACAGTGGACATTCTTTGTCAAAACCGTAATATGACTTGTTAATTGCTCTTGAGTTAACTCCACTCGACGATGACCCTCTATAAGAAACATTGCCCGTCCGATGGCGTTCTCCTGACCACGGGTGCCCTGAGTCCACGTGTGTGGCTGTGACTCAGTCCGTCTCACTGAGAGCTCGCTTCATGTTCATTGACCCTCTACTTTATGCTTTGCTAGCAACTGGCCTTTTCTGATGACGTGTCCAAACTAAGCACATTGGAGTTGTGGCCTCTTCCCTGTTAAGCAACATTCTTGGCTGTATTTCTTCTAAAAGGGATTTGTTCATTGTTGATTTATTTAAAAATATCTTCTTGGTTTGAATTTACTTATGTGTATGCGTCGTGTTTTATACGTGTACTTTGTGTTTATATAATCATTCCTATACATTCTGTTTTAGATCCTTAGTTACCTTTGCTCTATTCTTTTTTTTTTTTTGCTCTATTCTTATTATCACCCACCTTTTCACGTTCCCAGTGAAATGTCCCCATCTTTTCGCTCCCCGTTTACCCACTGACCTCTGCTCTCCCAGTGATTTCCCCCTTTCCCTTTTGCTGCCCCCTTTTCCTTTCCCTCCTCTTTTAACCACATATGCACCTCTTCTCAGTTATCCTCTTATTTTCACAATAGTGAATTAAGCAGTATTTGTCCTGTGTGGTTGAGATTTTTTGTTCAGCTTAATGCTCTCTAGACTCTCTCCCAAGTCATACAGTATCTTACAAAGTTGTTGTTCCTTCGTACTGCTGGTATTCATTGTGTGAATGTACCACAATTTCTACCCCCACTTCTTCATTGGTGGGCATTAGGACTGTCCGAATAATGCTGTTCATTCTTTTGGCACTCCTTGGTATACGTTCCATATTCTTTGTCACATTGTTGTTCAAATGCATCAGTTCTCGGTCTTCCTTTTTCACTATCTGTTTGCATGTACATGAACTGATGAAAATATGCTGGTGTGGATCAGACACACAATACAGGTGGTGTCAAATGGGATTTAGATCTACAAAGCCCTGCAAATAGGATTTGGCCCAATTAAGTACATTCTGTCTGTGAATGGCTACATAATACTGTGTTTATCTTTAGCTAACATAGATATGGCCAAGGCTGGTGTTTAATAACAGGATTAGATAACACTTTTATAATGGGCTGTGTTGAATCAAGATTTACCTTAGAGGATATTTTGGAAAATGTGCTATAAAAAGCCCACTTGCAGTGATTGGATATTAACATTTTAAAGTTACCTACATAAGATCTTATTGCTTCAATAACATACATAAAGCCCGTTGGACCCCAGTACTGTACTCATGCCCTACCTATATCCTGAAATGGAGACTGTCTCTTATCACTTGCGTTTCCCACTCAGCCAGGTGGGACAGATAACAAGGAAGACGGCCTTGCCTTCTGGAAATGTGTGTCATGTTTAGTTACACCCTAGTCTGGCGGAAGGCTCTGTTTAAATTTCTAGCTCACTGGCAGACACACAGTCATGAATGAAAAGCAAACAGTGAAAGTGGCGCCTGGTGCGCCTTCCCTGGGCCTGGGGGCTCAGAACTGCTGCAGGATCCAGCTCAGGCCGTCCTGGATGAGCAGGGCGTCCAGGAGTAGCTGACCCATGCCAGACCATGGGGGCTTTTTAGCAGACTCTGAAATGGGGCTGGAGGGAATCAACTAGGGTGTGTGTGTGTGTGTGTGTGTGTGTGTGTGTGTGTGTGTGTATTTTTTCCTTTTTAAGGAGTTGTTGTTAGATGCTGCTGAGTCAAGGACAACTCATAGTGACCCTATGAACATCAGACCCTGTCCTATCCTGTGCCATCCTCATCAGCCCCAACACATTTGAGCCCACTTGTACAGTCACTGTATCAACCCATCTTTTTCCGGCTCTTCCTCTCTCTCTGACCCTGTCCAAGTATGATGTCCATTTCTAAAACAGCCTTTTCAAACAACATGCCCCAAATGTGCCGTCAAATCAGAACCCATCCGTAGCTGACCATCTGAGTGGGTTTTCAGAGGCTGTAAATCCCACAGGAGGAGATTGTTCCTCTTTCTCCCATGGAACATCTTGAAATCCAAGCCTTTACATGTCAGTGGCAACGAGCTCTTAGAGGTCATGCATGACCTGCGACCTGCTCCCTAGTCCTCCCCGGCACCCGGCAAACAGTCAATGTACTGAACTGAAATAAGGGATCCAGAGTGCATTCCAGCCACTCCCTGTTCTCAGGAAGGGCCTCTCACTATGATGTGCACCTCACACAGTAATGGAGATTTGCTGAGTGAATGGCCTAGGCCCGGCCTGAGAATCTGCATTTCTAGCATGTCGCGCATAGTACTGATGCTGTGGGGTCAGGACCACATTGAGGTTGTGTTCTAGTGCTGTGTACATTTCACTGCCCCGGGAAATGCCTGGAGTTCCTAGTGGACCATGGTCAGTTGGCCTCTTGCCACTGAGTGGGGATGTGCTGGTGTGGAGCGCCCTGTAACCACATCCTCTCTTCTCTGCAGGGGAGGAGCGGCCGCGGGACGTCCTGGCCCCAGCGGCCACGACCACGGGGGAGGCCCAGGCTGGAGCCGGGCCCGAGGGCGGGCGGACTGGCCAGCTGTGTTGGCGCTGCTCCCGCGAGCAGCTCCAGAAGGCCTTCTGGGGCGTGGCGGTGGTGCTGTGCGTGTGCGCCTCCTGGGCCGGCTCCACACAGCTGGCCAAGCTCACCTTCAAGACCTTTGACGCGCCCTTCACCCTCACCTGGTTTGCCACCAACTGGAACTTTCTCTTCTTCCCACTGTACTATGCGGGCCACGTCTGCAAGTCGGCAGAGAAGCAGTCTGTGAAGCAGAGATTCCGGTAGGTGCTCCCTGGCCGGCAGCTGTCACCTGAGGGTGACGACCTGGCAAGACAGTGAATGGTGGCTTGAGGGTGGCGAGATCAGGACCCTCTCTCCCCTCCCTGGGTTTTGAACTGATCCCCTGACTTTTATCAGAGTCACTGCCCTTGGTGTTCCTCTCTGTGAAGCATAATAATGTGTCATCTTATGAGAATGACCAGAAAGTGACAGCATCCTGGAAAGCATAATACCAGGAGCTGGTCACCTTAGCAGACATGAGGGGCATGGCTACTATCTGGGATAGGACTGTTAGTCCCAGAGCCCAGTGCCTGGTTCCCTGCAGGTTAGTGTCCCCCATGCAGATGCTAATATTGCAAAGACCCCGTTAACTTTCCAGTTCAGAACTCTATCCTCCTGTCTGTACTGATAGCATTGGTCCAGTGCTATCCAGCAAAGAGCTCGGATGGCGTAGTCTCTAGCATGTGGTGCTGCTTCCACAGGCCCTTCATCTCCTGTGGTTAGAATATGCCAGTGGCTCAGACAGAAATAAGGATAGTCTCCTCTGGTTAGGATTTACAGCCTTGGAAGCTCAGCAGGTTACTTTGAGTCAGAACAAACTTGTGAGTTTAGAGTTGGGTTTTAACTGTCTGGCAGTTCGAGTGTCCCCAAAGCAGTGCCTGAACTTCATTGGCTGTATTTTTTGTTCAGAACCCACTGAAATGTGTTTCTGTTTAAAAACAAACCCAACCCCCCTTGTCTCTGTGTGAAGCAGGTAGTTGTGATGCTCCTGGAAGTCAGATAGTTGATTTTCAATACGGGCTCACAGACATCACCACTGGGCCATGTGGTGCCCAAGGTGGAGGCCCGGGCTGGGCACATCAAAAGCTGACCACTGTTCCCGTCAGGTTAAGCCAGGAAAGAGTGCTGATCGAGAGAGATCATTGGCTCTGCACACTTACCTTTTGTCAGTCTCAGAGGTGGGGAAGGGTGAAGAAAGTTGAAGGTTGTTCAGTCTCCTCACCGGCTTCTTCCCCAGCCCATCTTCATTTTCAGTCCCCAGTAAACTCGTGTTCACATACATATAATGTCGTCATGTTTATCCTCCTCTGCTCTGAACTCCAACCATGTCCTGAAGCAGTACCTTGAAAGTCACAAGAAAGCTGAAAGTATTTTGGGTACAAGGAGCAGAGTGGTGTGGGGATAGACTCTGATTAGAATTTTGCTCTGGTGACCTGTCATCGAATCTTCCTACAGTTAGAGTTGGAGATATGGCATTTGCTTAACCCTCAGAGAGTGTCCAGTGAGTGTAGGTAGCGTGGGAATGGTTGCATCTGACCTCTGTTAATTTTACAAAAGGGACCATCAGCAACACCTGCCACACAAAACCAATTCATCCAAGGTCATGGCCTCCATACTTCTGCACCTGCTTCTTAAAACACAAGCATACAGCTCTAGTGGGTCCAAAATCCATTTCACTGGCCACACAAATCTCACAGAACCATACTCATGGTTATGGGGTTTACTAGAAAAGTTAACAGGTTGGAAATAATACAATTCCTCAGTCAGGACAATTCCTCAGTCAGGACAGCTTCTGAGGCATGTTTGCTACCCCTTCAAACTTCAGTGGCATAGCTTAGGTCAATGTTAGAGTTCCCTTACTCCCACCAATTATGGCATCTCCCCTCAGCTCTCCAGTAAGGCATCTTGCTGTGGCTCCATAGGGCAACAGTCCTGGGTCAGCTCTGTCTCACCTTGGCCTCTGGTTCTCTGTTAAGGCTGCTCCTGTGTATCTCAGTCTGACTGGCTCAGGAATCTCTGACTCTGAAGGACTCACACGCTGCTACCTTTTTGCTGGTATAATGAGATTTCCCTTCCTTGTGGTTAAACCTGCTAAGTTTAAATTTGCCAGTTTAAAGTTAACTAACCCAAAATTATTAGTTTATACACAGCCAAATTCAGATTCCTGCCCAGTCATGTGGTGAAAGGCAAAGCTGATGACTAGGAAGGCAATTTTGAACAACAAATGCCTGACACCAGAGAAGTTAGCTCTGGTTCCTTTAAAAGACTGGGCAGTAGGCCAGAGGACAAATTCTCCTACAGGAAGTCTCTGATGGACTTGGCCATCATCCCAGAGGTCAGCCAGCTCAGTGAGAAGGCTTCAGAGCGAATGCTGGAGATGAGGCTGCCGGCTGTGGTGACCACCTGGGCATCCTCAGTGTTCGCTTAAACCAACATTCATGGAGAAGTTGTTAAAGAGGCACTTAATGTGCCTTTCCTGAACAGCGGCCAAAAAAATGCACAGATGGAGTCCAAAATTGTCCTAAAAGCAAGAACGCAGTAATGGCTCGTTGTTGTTGTTATTCCTGTTAGGTGCCATTGAGTCCACTCCTATCCGTAGTGACCTTGTGAGTAATAGATTTGAACTCTCACCTCTCCTGCATCACCCTCAGCAGCCCTGATATATTTTAATCCATTGCTGCACTCACTGTGTCAGTCCATCTCATTGAAGGTCTTCCTTTCTTTCCCTAATCCTCTACCTTTCTGAGCACAAGATCTTTTTCCAAGGACTGACCCTCCCTGATAACATACTCAATATATGGGAGATCACATTTTACCATCCTCGCTTTTAAAGAGAACATTGGTTGCACTTCCTCCAAGATGCACAGGTTTGTTCCTTTGAAGTACCTGGTATATTCAGTACTCTTCTTCAGCACTACAATTCAAACACATCAGTTCTTCTTCTGTCATCCTTAGTCGTTGTCCAACTTTCAGATGCATAGCAAATAATTTAAAAGATCATGGCTTGAATCAGGCTCACCTTAGTGTTTAAACTGGCTTTACTGCTCCTTAGCACCTTGGAGAGGTCTTTGACAGTAGATTTTCTCAACGCAATATGTTTTTTGATTTCTTGACTGCTGGTAGCAGGATGTTGACTGTGGATCCAGATAAGATGAAATTATTAACAACTTCAGTCTTCCCTCCATCTATCATGATATTGTATATTGGCCCAGTGAGGAGAAATTGTCTTGATGTTGAGATATAATTCATATTGAAGTCTTTGATATTCCACAGCAAGCACTCTAAGTCCTCCTTCCTTTCAGCAGGCAAGGTTGTGTCATCTGCATAACAAAGGTTGTTGGTGAGTCTTCCTCCAGCCCTGATGCTGCATTCCTCTTCAAACAGTCTAGTTTCTTGAATGATTTGCTCAGCATACAAACTGAATAAGTGAGGAGAAAGGATACAACCCTGACACGCACTTTTCCTGACTTTAAACCATGCAGATAACGGCCTACTTCTAGTTAAAGAAGAAGCTTTGGTGGCATAGTCCATAGTGTGCAGCTGCTAACCAAAGGCCTTGTGTTCTGAGTAACTTGAGTCCACCAAGGGAGAAAGATGGGAAGTCGTCCCAGAAACCTGATAGAAGAAATTTATGAGCAGTCTGGCAATGAGTTTGGTTCTCATCAAAGTGAAACACAAATGTTCACTTAATGATGCCAGAAATGTTTTTAATTTCTAATTCAGAGTTTATCCTTAGACCACTATGTTGAATAAAGGGCTAACAGCGATCTGTGTATGTTTTCCTATCTTGGAAACTAATTACTGGGATGAGATGAAAGGCATTCTTCTGCTTCCTTCAGCCATGGCAGGGAGTGAGGGGAAGAGAACCATCACTGTGTGGCATCTGTCACCATTATCTGGGAATGAAACTGACTCCGGGGATACTCATAGAGGGCAGGCCCAGGGCCACAGATAGCACATCAGGAGCAAAACTCATGGGAGTGTAAAGGTCAAGGTAGGAACACAAGAAAGATCACTAAAGAGATGAATGCATTGATTTCCACCTGTTTCCCCTCCGTGAGAAGTGCCTGGGATGGATCAGGATTAGAGGAGAATGGAAGGTGGTCACTGAGGTCAGCACAAGCCGTGACCAATGTCACTTATTTCTCCTCCTAAGTCATTTGGCTTGTAAATTGGGTTCACACTGAAGCTCTGCAGAGTTGCTAGTTTCCCCACCAGTTCTTCTGGCATCCATTCAGCCATGTGAGGGGCAGGGGAAGGTTCTCTCACAGAAGAAGATTATTTTAACAGATCTTCCTTCAAAAATTATAACTTTGTCACCTCTCAGATGGGGAGTTCTCTCAGCAGTTAAGAGGTCCTAGACATAAATGAGAAGTCGCATCTCTGTGCTTTAGTCAGGATTCACACCAGAGAAGATTTAACAGCAGCCAGGTGGGGTCCCTTGCCTGAAGGTGTTGTAGAAGGCAGCTGGGTGGGAGAGGAAGAAAAGGAAGCTGGGGAAACAGGCGAGCTTTGCCTTCGCACCATAGTGTAACGCCCTAGAGTAGTGGAGGCTCAGATGCTGGTGTTCTGAGGTGTTGCCAGACTGGGCAATGAGAAGTTCCCAGACTCACCAGGCAGTGGAGACTGAGGGGTTTGATCTGGGGCTGGAGGACTGTTCACACCAGGTCCGATGAAGGAGAGTGTGGTGAATGATGTTCCCTCAGCTTTTGGCATCTCCGGTTGTGAGCTGGCCAGCAGATTCTACTTTAGAAATGTTGGGCAACCGTGTGAACCATGAGAAGACCAGGGCCCTTTTGAGGCCTTTTGTCTCAAAGTTAGTGAAGACTGGGCATGTGCATGTGGCTGTCCACCTTTCCCTCGGAGTCATAACGTGTTTGCAGCTCAAAGGCTAAGAAGTAGAGGGGAGAACTAGTAAAGAGTGAACCAACAATATTCACCCTAAATGTATTTCTAAAACATCTACTTGGGGTTAGGCACTGCTGTTTTTAGGTGGCATCAAACTGAGTATGACTCATAGTGACCCTATGAACAAAAGATCTGAATACTGTTCTCTCCTCTGTGCCATCCTCACACTTCCTGATTCACAGAGCCCATTGCAGCAGTCACTGTATCCACCTGGTTGAGGATCTTCTCCTCTTTCACCGATCCTCCACCTTTCCCAGCATCATGTCCTTCATCATGTCCAAGGAATAGCCCTTCCTAGCAGCATGCCCAAATT